ATTACTATCTGGACATTATAAAGATTTTGCATGTGAAATTTCAAAATTTTCTGTATTTTTAATCTTAAAATGAATATTACTTTGCGTGATAGATAGGCAACATGCGAAAAGAAAAAGATATGAGAAAAACATTGCTTTACCAACCTTAAGACTTAATAAAAAAAATTTGATATTTTGCATATGAAAGCATTGTAATGTTTACTAATAATCTGCCAAATTTCGTTAACATACACTTACTAATTTAAAAGTTGTAGCATGAAAACTATAAAAGGCACAAAATGGTTATGAGGTTAGTCCTAGGGACTAAGCCCTTGCTACGAGAGTTAAATTGATTAATATTTTGAAAATAATCAACTAATTGAAATTAGTGTTTCCAAATGTTACTGTTTTTAATTATTTCAGCTATCCAAGTAATGAAATATATCTATTATGATTTCTTATTATTATATTTAATTAATTCAAGGTTGTTCAGCTAACCAATTAGTATCATGACTCATGAAGATAGTGTTTCCAGTTATTCTAACTATCCAAATCTTGTGATAATAAATGATTAGTTAATTGTAACTTATTTATGAGTCCAAAGATTAATTGATTAGTAAATTATATTTTCTGTCTAGATCTATCCAACATAATACAGAATACTGTGCCAAAATGTATCAGCTAAAGGTTACTTATTGCAGCTAATGACAAAGTTCAAACTGCAAAACTGTCATTCATTTCATCAAGTATGTGCAGTTGTGATACATTTGCATGGTGCTTGAAAGATCACAAAAAGCTGTGTTGTGAGTGTTTCTTCAAACACATTATAGAGCAGGAATTTGTGATTTCTGTCTTAAGCTGACAAAAACAAATTTGATTGGCTGGATTAAAAAAAGATAGAAAGTGTGATAGCAAACATTGCAGCAAGGAAAAAAAATTCTCTTGCATTTAGGTACAGGAAAACGAGGCAACTCGCTGGAAAATTGCCTTCACAAGTAAGAAATGGTAAAATGTGTGGGAAAACATCACATCCATAATAATAATGTTATTGCACTTTATTTTAAAATGTTTTTATTATTTAAGTAATTGCACTATACTTATGCCATTGTTTTCTAGCATTACTTACAACACTTATTTACTGTGGAATGCAATGTGTTTGCTCACTGATGTTTAATAATAAAGAAAGAAACATTTTTCAATGAATTGAAACACTACTTTTGTATGTGTGCAATACTAAAATATTGTAACGATTATCATGTTAATCAAACATAACAACAAGAAATAAGATTGTAGCTATGCATCTCAATTCTACCCTATAAAACATAATAATAGAATCCTAAAAATTGGAATTTTGACAATTTTCCTTACCCCAAAATTTCTGTCTGAGGGTAGATTGAACATTTATTCCAAGGGAAGTGTCATCTTTTTTGGAAGTATTATTGTCATTTTTATCTCTGTCTGGCATCTCTTTTGTCTTAAGTAAGGGAATGTTTTTTGATAGACAGATGTTAAAATTAGATATGAACATGTTATTGAGACTCATCTTTCAGGCTTATAATGTAACCCCCTTCCATACACACACACACACACACACACATATATGCATTTGTGGAGACATCTAGATCTTTAAGATACTAAAGTGTCTTTTGATCATGCTTCTTTCTGCCCTGTGAGCTATATTTTACCATTCATCTGCTCTGCTTGAAGGGCATAACACTGGGCTTAAATAGAATATAGCAGAAAATATGTTTGTGATTTAACAAATGAAACCTTAAATATAATAAAGCAGCTGGAGGACAGTGTAATGATTTTGACCATCATCAACCCACTCCTAGGACTTTTGATAGACAGACTGGATAATTGTTAGATTTATATATACCATGGCATTATCTCACCAGTTCTCGAACACTGCCAATAGCATAAAACCTCATTTCTATGAGCACTTGTAATCAGATAGAGAATGCCATACTTTGTCTTGTCTGTTGCCTTAATCGTTGTTCTAGTAAGTCACAAAAATTCGTATTTTGAATTCTTGGCAGCCATTACTTTGGTATTAATCACCTTTCAGTGTAAAGATCAAGAGGATTTGAGTGATTCATAAACACCTTCTAACATACCAGTGAGTCCGGCATGGCCAGGTGGTTAGGTTGCTTTACTCGTACTCTGCGGGTCATGGGTTCGAATCCCCATCACACCAAACATGCTCTCCCTTTCAGCCGTAGAGGCATTATAAGTGACAGTCAATCCCACTATTCGTTGGTAAAAAGAGTAGCCCAAGAGTTGGCAGTGGGTGGTGATGACTAGCTGCTTTCCTTCTAGTCATCACAGCACTTTCTCACTGCTAAATTAGGGATGGCTTGCGCAGATAGCCCTCGTGTAGCTTTGCACGAAATTCATAACAAACCAAACTCATACCAATGACCATTAATGAGGGTTTTAATGCCCACTTCGGGGATTGCGATGAAAAAAGGCACTTTACAGTTGATCTTGGGCAATTGCAGCTATCACCTAAAAATCTTCAAAATCTATGATACAGTGATTTTGAGACAGTGATTCCTCGCATGTTGCTTTCATGAAACAAACCTTGGAACTCGGTTGGAAAAATCTGTACCTACAAATATTGGTAGCAAGGTAATAAAAGTTATGGAACATAAGGAAAAATCTTTCTTTCATTGGCAGAATGACAGCCACAGTAAGATTTCATGAAATTGATATGCCAGAGGTAGTCAGTGTCTATGAATTAATTAGTGTATCATGAGCATTCTTTGTATCAGAAAGACTGCTTCCAAAACATACTTACCTCCTCTCACACTACAGCTATTGCTCAACTGCTAGGGTTTCCTTCCTTTGCCCATCTAAGCATTGGTCTGATTTTTTCTCACTTGCTTCAGTCTTTTATATCCCACTTAATTGCCCTTGGCAATATTTATATCGTGATACTCTCCACATATGTCAGTGTGCCTTCTCTCCTGGTACTGTATATAAGCATCTCATTCAGATAATGTTATCACTTTTTTCAACAAAGCGTTCAGGAACTGGTTTCTCTGTACTGCAACTGTTAGAGACACTTTGAGCATTCTTTTACATTACCTAGTTGATTTTTGAAAAACAAAAAATTGCTTTGCAAACTGTTGCTGTCCATGATCTGATTCTTAGTGAGATGGAGACATATATTTGGTCTGATAGTGTTTCTGCAGGGGGCTGCATTTTTGGACAATCCTGAAAGGACGTCAAGTGACTACTTAGTTCTTCCTCCATCACCTGATATGGCAGTTCATACAGGGAGGTTTACTGCTCAGTTACATGAAGGAATAGCTATGCCTTGTCTGCCACATTTGTAGGAACAACATGTTTTGGCTTACAACTGCCAGGGGGGAACACATATTTAGACTCTCAAAGATGAGACTCGCTTTTGGAAATGTGGGGTTCCAGAACAGATCCTGTGATCAACTTACACAGATAACAATTTTCTAGGACTGGTTCTGAGATATTTAATATCCCTCCAAATT